TTAATATAATCTAAAAGAAAAATTATTGAAGCGTTTATAATTGGAAAATTAAATAATTACAAATTTACAACACTTAACTTTCAAGTGGGAAGCCTTTAAAAAAGGATTTTCAATTAATAAAATGTCATTAAAATTGAAACTTTTTCTTCAACCAATTTATAAAACTAAAACTCGAAGCGTATTGTAAAACAAAATAATGTGTTTGTATTTATTGAAATCTTAGATATTTGAACGTTTTCATTGAATGTAAAATATTTTAATCTTTAATTACATATCTTTTGCGTTCTTACCATTAGAAACAGTTCTGTATTACGAGTTTTTGAGTAGCAAACATCCTTTATTATTTTAAAATTTATAAAATAGTTGCACTTCATTATTAAGTTAATTTATTAGGAAAACAATATGATAAATGAGAATAAACTTTTCTTCAATTTAATTTCATGTAGATTTTAACAGAAAACATTAAATTAGTTATCAATTCATGAAATTTCAAAATCTAATGAGAATTATTGTCGCATAACAATTTTATTGTAATTTCATTTTAATATTACAAACGCCAACCTAATTATATCTGATATAAAACAGATTTGCTTCGCCTTCTGAATCGTCTTTACATTTACACAAGTTTAAGCTAGTATAAAGGCGATTCAAACTTTATTCCAATACAAATTTGATAGAAAAAAATGCTGTTACGGTGCTTGATTAATATATTCAACTATTAAAACAATCTTATAGGTAAAGTTAACGTACCTACACTTTTTGTTAAACAAAACCAGTTATTAAACTATTGCATTAAAATTTTAACTTTAAAATTGCAGTTTCCGTATAAATTCTTGCATAAAAAAATTAAAGTAAATTCTTTATTTAAGTAAGATTAAGCATAAAATTTTAATCCAGTACTTTTTTCCTAGTTTTTGATACAGTCTAAAAAAATTCTAAAAAAAATAACTGTTTCTTATCATTTCACTTTATCTGCTAAAGTGTCTTTCCATTTCGTCCATTTTTATGTTGGTTCAATAAAACTTTTACACCGCTCAAGATAAAAATATGATATCTTGTATGCAAATTAATCCAATCAAGGTTTTCTTGTTTCTCAACAAGTTATAGATCTCCGCAATTCCGAAAATTATATTAATTATCGAAAATTATATTAAATAAAATAAGTTAAGTAATTATATTAAATTTTTTATCGAAAATTATATTAATTATTAAATAAAATAAGTTATCAATTAATTTTATGTTTTAATACAAAATTTATTTTAAATTTAATATTTAAATTCTCCTTAAATAACTAACTAACACTCCTTCCCTAATAATTTAAAAGAGAATAATTCCTTTGAAAATTAAATTTAATTTGTTTACTATGCACCTACAATTAAGGTACATACATACATATATATTTATCTGATACACCGAACACACATGACATTAAAATTAGCTATTGGTTAACCCATTCAGAATGTCTTGCAACAAAAATGTCTAGCTTTTGTATGTAAACATAATAAAATCATATAAAAAATATCAAATAATATAAAAAATACTGTCATAATTGTCACTCCATTTACACACTATATTATAGTCTTGCACATAACACCATTAAATGCATACATACATATATTCTCTATATTATGTATGTTTAAAAGGATATTGAATTGAAAAGGATTCTTTTATTTAATAAAAAAAAAAAAATTAACAAAAAAAAAATTTTTTTTTCTAAAGAAACAAAAGGAAGTTTACAACCCCAATAAAAAAAAGGATAATATTTTTTTCTCTCAATTCAAAACATTTTATAAAGAAAATTTTCAAAGACGTTGTTATACAGAAAAAAAAACGACTAAAAACAGTATGAAAACATGAAAATCGCAAAAAAAGAAAAAACGATAAACACAAACCATATGACAGTATAATGACATATACTCTCACTTCATTCAATTCTCCTTATTTTTAACATGATAACATTTTCTTAAATTTGAAATATTCGTGCCTTCAAATTATAGGAAATCTTTTAAGAAAATATTTTATATTAAAACGAGAAAAAATAGAGTTGACCGTGTCAACTCTATTTGTTGTATGGCAGCTACTCGAACCAGTACTACGATTATACCCAATTTAAATATGGTTCTGGCATTTACTATATATAAATCATTTGTATAAATTTGGTGAACTGAGTTCAATTAGTTTTTGAGTTATCGTTAAGACGAACGGACAGACGGACAGACGGACAGACAAAGCTAAATCAACTCAGAATTCTCAGTGTCAAAAACATACACTTGAGTCTATATCTCAGAGCATTATTTCTTAGCGTTACAAACGGTTTTTACAAAATAAAATTTCCTCGTTTACTAATTTATAATGTTTTCCATTTACTAGTTTATAATGTTTTAATAACGCAAGTACGTATTTGGTATTCAATAAAAAAATTTACCTTAAAACTTTAACATCAATCTACATATTCATAATTAAAGTAAAAGTTTAATTTATCTTGTTTTCAAAATTTCATTCCGAAGCTACGCTTGAATATTAAATTCCTAATGGAAATTATGTCACCAAATTAAAAGATCCAATTTTCGAAATAACACCCTTGAAACTGAAATAAATTAATCAACAATAATTCGACCAAATTTTTAATAAAGCTAATTATTTAAAAAATAAGAATAATTATGAAACCACAATTGGCATCGTTAACTTGCATTAACTTGGCAGTTTCATATCACCTTAATTCTCATAAAATATTATTGCGGAGATAGCGGTGATCGAATATAATTGTAGTTCTGAACTTAAATAGGTACACAATTCAGAAAAAATATACATAACTATATACTCTTGATCAAAGATTAAGACTTTTTTAGTATTAAGAAGACGCAAACATTTGTGTCCATTTTACCTAACAACATCATATGGTATGTATAAATATACGTTATTTTATCAAAGTAAGCGAACATGTAATAAACATACTCGTAATTATGTATCTTATACAGAGTTACCTATGTTTTTTATCTAAAATTCATTAGAATAAAAATAAAATTTTCATATTCAATGTGAAAAATTATTAAAAATGAAAATAATATTTGTATATGTGTATAATGCATACTATACATACATACATACTAAAAAAAAATAAGGGTTGATGCTTTCATAAGATTCATTTCTCTTTTCAGAATGTTCATAAAGGTGCAAAACCATCATAGACATCAACATCATCATTAAATGCTATTGAAAACATATCCTTTATTTCGTCTTAATAAATATTTATACACATAACGTATATAAATATATCATGTAAATGCGAAGTACAACGTACATACAATCTGTTTGAACTTTCTGTATAATATATAAGTACAAAATATGTACAACATAATAAACATAATTCATAAAGTATAACACATAAAACATTCAAACATTTATGGATGGATACACGTAAGTGTTAATGGTAAAAAAAATAAGGATATACCTGGTATAATTCATTCTCTGTCACAAGGAAATAAAGTCTTGAAGATTTTCTCTGCGGATTTTCTTTTTTTTTTCCTTTTCTGCGATATAAAATTGTGCACTCAAATGAAATTGCTATTTAATGAACTACACCTGTTTATCACCTAAAATAATTTTAATTTTTTTTTTTATTCAGATTAAATCATTCAGAAAGTTTATATTTTTTAAGTATATGTGTGTATCTAGGCAGTTTAGCGATTGTTCATGATATTGAAATCATATAAATTATAATCGAGTTGGTAATGTGACTTTTTTAGGAGTAAACATACATGAACTATTATGGCATGTACATGATTTAGTGCTGTATTTGAAGTTATTTAAGAAAGCATTTTAAAAATTTGTTTCCAATTTTCCCAAAAGCAATCTAAAGCAAATTCTTTATAACCCATTGATTTTCATAAATTAACACGGTCCGTAGGATGGCTAATAAAACAACAACATTTTGACATAATTTGATTTTATTCATCAACATAGTCTCCTTTTAAGGCGATGCAGTCATTCCAACACCTCTCTAACTTTTCGATACCATGTTTGTAGAACGATTTATTTTCCTTAAAAGTATGCTTCAGCTTCGGTGATGATCTCCTCATTCGATCCAAATATCTTTCCCTGGATCATTCTTTTGAGATTTGAGAACAGCCAATAATCGCTGGGAGCTAAATCAGGTGATGCGCAGCAATTCGAAGTGCAATTCATTCATTTTTACCATGCTTTGCATTGTAAAAATGCAACGAAAAAGACTTCTTTTCTTCTTCGTGTGCGCTCTCTTTTCGTCGATTACAGCCTTCAATCGTTCCAATAATGCCATGTAATATTCGCTTTTGATCGTTTTACCTTTCTCAAGATAATCAATGAACAATATGCCATGGCCATCCCAAAATACGGAGGCCATAACCTTGCCAGCAGAGGTTTGAGTCTTTGGGCGCTTTGGGCGACTTTCACCCACCGACTGTAAAGTTACTGATTTATTAAATTGGCCAGTATCTAAACGATTGTAAATAAAATTTTATAAAAACATTTTTCCTTTAATTAATTTATATGAAAACTTCAATAGAAGTAAAAGAGAACAGCCTAATTAATTACAATAGAAATTTTGGTTTCAGTTTTTCCAATTTAATTTAGATTTATAGTTTTCAAGAATTTGTATTATGCAATCTGCCATAAATTCCCCTTTGCTTGTTCGTAAACTACATATATTTCATTAAAGTATACATATTATATTCACAATTAATTAATATTTAAATCGAACTTATTAATTTAACTTATGTAACTAATACAGAATAAGCTTTAGAATTCAGGTAGAAGATTTCAATATATTATGTATGTAAGTCAAAATGTGAATCATTACATTTAAATTTTAATATATATTATTCGTTTATTTTCTTATAGATGTTCTAAATCGCATATTGTCGATTGTTGTCGATTAATCGTTTATCTAAAAAGCTCCCAACTAAACACGTTTGCGAAAAAAAAGTTAAATTCAACTTAAATTCTTAGTAGTAATACAAGTCTTGAATGATTAAGTTGAATTTTAATGACTTAAGAATTTTTGATTAAAATTAAAAATTTATGATGTATAGACCTTATACTCGTAACATAGAAAAAAAGTATGTGAAAGTGATCACATTACAAACGGAAATTTAACGAAATAATTTTTGTTTCGACTCCAACTTTTTGGTATGTTTTCTATATTTGTATTGTATATAAGAATCTAGATAATAATAAAATGGAATACAATTGTGTATATATAACGTTCATGCTAAAATTAGTGAAATAAAATCAATATTTCAAAGTTTTAAAATTTACGTAACTTTACAAGAATAGAAGTGTTTGAAACATTAACAATTAAAAGTAGCAGACATTTGCCATTATGAATTAATTATAACACTTTTAGTTAGGAATTAATTGTATTTTCAAATCCCTGTCCCTAAAAGTTTTCATACAACCATTAACCTTTGCAACAAAACTATTTTGTCCCGACAATATTTTTTAAATAACCCAAAAAAAATAATAATATAGAATTGTTTTAAAATGAATATAGTTTGGTACCACGTAATTAACTTCAACGTAATAAACAAAATTAATATTATATAGTAACACTCATATCTGAATAAACCAAGTCTCTTTATTGAACAAAGCATTATTTTCAATTCTAGAAATTATAGCATATAAATTTTTTATAAAAATTAATTATCTATAAAAACTTGATGGAGAATACAAGTTTAAGCTGTAAGTTGTTTTAGAAAACCACTAAATGTTTTACACCAAAAAAAAATTAAACTTAATTTTTTAAAACAGATGGTCCGTACCTTTGAAATTTTTTATTTAATTATAATATTTAAAATGTTTTTTTTTTTATTAAATTTCGAATGTCAAAAAAACTTCTTGAGAGTTCTTGGTGGTTTTAATTATTCGAACTCAATAATACAACTTTTCTAACACCTCTGCTATTTCAAAAATTTTTTTTGCAATCTTCTTCTTATAGTGCGCGAATTCACATTCAAGTTTTAGCGTTAGAGAGTTCAACGGTAACAGGACATTCAACGGTAAGTGAACGATTTTGTGTCCATTTCCAATCATACCCTTTGAAACAATTTTTTTGAATATTCGTTAAAATTTACTTTCATTTCGGAGCGCTAAACCACTTAGACTCAGCTTGTCCATTCCAAAATGATGCATTGCAATTAACTACTTACATCAAAAATTTTAAAAACAAACTCAAAAAACATTTTTTATATTGAAAAATTCTTTTTCATTTGATATTTTTAAATATTAAAAATTTTTTATTTATTTAACTTCATTTTACTGACCACATAAAATATTGAATTTTGATTATATTTAAATTTTACTTATATTCACCATATAGAGTGCGAATATTGCTCTTGCTTTTTGGAAACAAGCAAGAGCAAAGTGATGATTAAATGTAATAAAACAAGAAAGATACAATGGTGACTTCACTTTATGGCCATCACTGTATATGACAAAATAACTGTTATACAAAAAAATTTAAGTTACGTTTTACTCATATATCGAAAAAGACTATTCCATTCACAAATAAGCTCATAAATAAGCTCAGTACACATAACATGTAAATGGAACGCAAATATTATATCTCTTTTAAGTTTTTGTTTGTATTATCTACAGGTGTAGGTACATACATATGTACATATATTTTTGTGTATTATGTAAAGTAATGCTATACTTAAAAATATTTAAGTTAAAAAAAGCAACTAAAACAAACATCACAGTATTTCCAATGCGGTTGGATATCAAATTACCAATTCGTTTTGATTGCACTTCAAAATCTATATAATAAGTATTAAATTATTAATATATTTATTAATGTACGTGACATTATACATACATATGTATTTCTATAACAGTATACTCTCGAATCTATGAAACTCGAATTTAATTCAATGGCTTTCTGGTGATACAGATTTCGGTATTTACAAACAATGTAACACGACCACGCATATTATACAAAGATTTTATCAAAAATATAACTAGATATTATAATTTATGAAAGTTAATATTATAAAAACAACAATTTTTCGATATAGTATTGACAAAAAAAAAATTTTCTATTAAAATATTTTCTATTAATTTTAATTGTAATTGTTGCATAAATCGCAAGAACATTGTTTTACATACAATTTGTCAATGAATGATCTGGACAATTATGTTAGTATTTTGTTTTACTTTGAACGCATATTTTGTTTATACATATTATATTATGTAGATACATATGTTTACATATATATATATATATATATATATATATATATATATATATATATATATATATAAGTACACAATTAAAATTCGAAAACAACTGTGCTTGCGGTAGCCGTATCGAAATGTATAAATTTTTGTTCAGAAGTTGGATCTAGAATTAGAACATTTTTATATTTAATAATTCCGTTTGTAACTAGTACGAGTACCTTAATTTCAAAAAGTTCATATTTAACCAACAGTTAAAATTTGGGGACTTTGGCAACATTAGAATTCTATTTTTTAGACAAGAGGTTTTCTTACAATAATTGCTAATTTGTATACTTGTGCTTATTTACATATGTACATATTATATACTTACATATTTGCTATTGCAGATTCAAAAAATTGAAACTTTAAAACTTTTGTAAACTTTGAAAAACAAATAAGTTATCTACACCTACACAGTTTCCTAATAACAAAAAAAAAATGAAAATATAATAATAACAATAAAATTATCTTTAGATAAACTCGTATTTCTTTACTTATATACATATACACATACGATTCTAATACGTACGAATGATCTTCATTTATAATCAACACCTGATAAAAAGTCGGAAAGCTGTTCAATGACCTTTTTAAGAAATGAAATTCAATTTGAAAAATTAAAGCAATTTAGTTTTTTAATACCATTCAAGAGCTTTTATCCAACAATAAAATTAAAGTAAGAACATCATTATCATACCAGTTAGGCAAACATATGCATATGTACATTGATCTGAATATGTTCCTGAAAATATATTATAAACTTATTTTCCAGCAGATTTTATTAAGATTTTGACATTGAAAAATTCAAAACATACAATACTCGTCTACAGTTATACATATATATGTATGTATGTGAATAAAAACACTTTATTTTAATTTTTAGAATATTAATGCTATTTAGCATATCATTTTATATTATTCATAAATCATCCATTAATAATTTATTTTAAAAAAAGTTGCACCTAATAAAAATACTTACGGTTATGTTATTAAGCATTAACCTTTTATAGTTCGCTATACCTAATATGTGTACATAACCATGTATGTACATAACTTTCTGATAAGCACGTTGTTGAGTGAATCATTATTTTATGTCCACAATTCAGTTTCCAATTCTACCCACATATGTATGAATGTTCTCATATTTTTTTGTAGACTATCAAAGTAATTTTGCGCAAAACCCATAATAAAAGAGAAATTAGTTTAAGAGTAAAATAACTTTTTAAGAGAAAATGTCTTGCTATTGTATGTTTGCATTTATATGTATATATATATATACGTATAAACTAGTCATTGCCATTACAAAAATTTTGTATTGTACTTTAGGTTTCTACCAGTATAAAATTTAAAACAATTATAATACAAGTATATAATACAGTCATAACCAAAAGTTTAACACCTTTTTTTTATAAGTAGGTAAAATCTTGTATTATTGAAATTTTAAACAATTTTAGATACAAAAACCTTCTTCTAAATTGATTATAAGTAATGTAAGTTCAAATTAAATTTTAATTCAAAATTTTATGACTTTGTGAATTGTTACAATATTATGATCGCATTGCTGTGTTAAAGAAAACAAATTAACCACGTACCGCACTAATGTTTGCTATGTGTAAATAATACACTGAAAACCACACCATTGCTTTTGCACGTTTCAAAAATTGAGACGCAGAACTGATATTTAAAATGAGAAAAATTAACTTCTCAAAATCCCAAATTAAAAATTTGATTAATTGCTACCGCATATAAATTTATATGTAATACATATTTAATTAACAAAAAAGAAAATTTAAGAAAAAAACCCAGTTCGACTTCATAGTATCTTTAAGAATTAACTAAATATTTTTTACGACTGTTTACGAATTTTATTAATTTTTTATTAAACAAAGGAAATATGCGAGTTAATTTCATTTTTTAGAAAATATCCAAGCAATAATTTCAAATTCATAAATTTGTGCAAAGTTTTACAATCGAATGTATAGTTATGAGCCCAAGGCTCTTAACTATGCACTCAATTTAAATTACCCCTTAACAAACCCTTAGCTAGTGTATTTTTATGTGATACAAATATTTTCACAATTTTTTACCGAGTCAAAAATTAAACTCTTTAAATATGACACTTCTTTTTAAATATGTAATTGGAGTCCTTACATTGTCATATGTGAAATCTTTCGAAATGAAATTTTAATTTTGCGTAAAACTAATGACAAAAATTTAAAACTAATGATTGATTTATCTAAAATATGAAATTAAAATTTGCTATGCCTATTTAGAATATTATGTACACGAACTACATTCTTGCATATTTGTATATACTCAATTCTTATGAGTTATTTTATTTCTTTAATTTAACTTTTACTTAAAAATTTAATTCGTCAATAATTTAAAATTATTCTAGAATGATTTTCTATTAGGAAAAATATAAAAGAAACAATTTTCCAAAACTTGTTAACCCGCTTAAATTTCGCAAAAAGTTATAAATATTTGAAAACAAATATATATTTTAAAAATATATTTATTCTTTGACGTTACGCTTCTCTATGTATGTATGTCATGCATTTAGAATACAAAAACAAAAATCATTCTTCAAGTAATAAAAAACTATTTTCTGTACAATTTAGTTCTGATTTTTTTTTATTTTTTAATAGTTAATTTAAATATTTAAAAAACGTACAATAAAAAACAATATTATTATTATTATGATTGTACTTCTGACATAACATTGCTATTTTATGTAAAAAAGTTTTTGTTCTATAAAAATTTCTATAATATTTTTAATTTTTTAATTTATATAATAAATCAATTATTGATTTTAATATAATATTTAAATTTATTGTAAATATCATTATTGTTTTATTATTATTGAAGCGCAAACACTTTATTATATTTAATTTTAGTCTTTCGTAAAAATGAAAAAACTATTTATGTATAAAAAAAACAATCTTAAATACTAAATGCTAAGTCTTATTATCTACCAACCAATTACGTTTACTAATAGTGGAAACAATGTAGAAAACGCGATTCCACTAAATATTCCCGTTATGAGCATTGCGGCAGCAAACATTCCGGCAGTAGAAGCATATTTTGGTGTAACTGTTTGAGGGGCATACATCATACCCAATGAGCTAAAATATTTCGATTTTGTAATTATTCTCGATACACAAGTTAAATTTGTTTTAGTTCAATTTAATAAGAATTGTGTAGTTTACCTTAAATAACCAGATGAAAATGACATAATTATAGCAATAACCCAATATGCCCAATTACTCGTAATAAGAACTGGTAAAGCACGTTCTGTATTAAGAGGATGATAGTTGCATAATAAAAATAGTGGCATAAAAACCACTCTCAAAACGACGGGCCATACCAAATATTTCGGTTTTGGCTATAATAATGTCTTAATTAAATTTTATATATTTTAAATGAACTTTATTAAATTACCCAATTAACCCAAGATGTTGCCAAACTTCCAAGCATAGCAAAGAGATTAAAAGTTAAAAAGCAAGTTATAGATACAAAATATTTTTCAGGAACTGGAAACCATGTAGAATCATCGAGATTGAGTTTAATGTCTATAAAATATTGAAAATAAATTAAATAACAGCTTAACATTGGATTTTTCAAATTTGGTTATTGCTCTTTTCCAAAAAAGTTTGTTTTAAGCAATATAAATTACCAGAATGAACAGCCGGAAACACTGATAAAGTCACAAAAAATACGAAGAACACATTAAAAAGTTGAGGAAAACTTTTTCTGAAAACTTGCCCATATGGTACATCATTGCTAGCAGATTTGGTTTCTTTTTCAGCCTCTTTTTCATTTAACATTTCATGATATTTAAAGAACCTCTAAAAATTTTATTAGTAATTTGTATAAGGAAAAAATTTAATGAAATTTCTAAATTACATAGTAATTACATATAGTATAAAATATTTTACTTACATTTAATGGTAAGGCAAAATAAGTATCAAAACAGACTAAAAGTACAAACATTGCCGTAATGAAGTAGTAAATAGCAGCAGTTCGATCTGATGAAGCGAATTCAGTACTAATTATGCTTATGATTGTAGTAAATAAACCACTAACATTTGATCCCAATACAACAGCTCCCGTATATTTAAAAGGTAAAGTTGCAGCCATCCCATACACAGTATTTTGATAAATACCATTAGCCACTAAAATAAAAAACATTTTTACTTAATACATGATTTATTATTCATCTTGCTAACGTTGAAGCAAAATATTTTATAGCCTTCATGATTTTAAATATGGAAAATATGCTATGAAAAATATAAACTACCTTTTTTTCAAAAAATGATAAAATTTCAATTTAAAAAAAAAAGTCACGCTTTCTCTTTAAAGCGCTTAATCAACCTCCAAAAAAAATGCAACTCATAACTTCAAAAATAAACATATTTCAAATTGTTATAAAAAAATGTACAATAATATTAATCGAAAATTTGCATTAAAACTGCTAAATTCATAACATGAGCTGGTATTTAATTCAAAAAAAACCTTTATGTAAAGTTTAATTTTTGACTTACTATTTAAAATAACAACACTTATCATAGTAACCCAGAAAAATTGAGCTGGCCAATTAGACGAATCTGACATTGCTAAAACAACAGTTATAATAAATATAACAATTTCGATAAAAATACTCCAAACAATTCTTGTCGTCAAATTTCCACTAAAAATTCATATAAGTTAATAATAGAATTCCTATAAAATGTACATGTATGTATGAAATACTCACCCGATTTTTACAAAAATATTTAACCAATTAAATAATAAATTTGGAATTTGCGCAGCAAACCCAACGTAATTCATAAAATATTTTGCATATTCTAAGTTATCTCCGGACATCCCAGTATATTCTGGTCCCAATTTAAAATCCACAAAATACTACAATTATTCAAAAAACAAAAATATTCTTTAAAAAATATTTTCTTGATTAAAATAACAATTTTTTTTAAAAAATAACAAATTTTGTTAACAAAGTTTTTTTAGCAAATTTATTTACACTTTTTGCTGTTATAAACATATTCCAAGGCATAAGAGTTCCAAGACCATGTAAAACAAACGTTAAAAATACTAATTTCCATCTATCAACTGGCGGGCTCATTTCCATTCTCACTCGCTCCATTGTCATACCTACAATAAAAATTTTTATTTATAATAAAAATTTCAAACTTTTAATTATGCTTGTTGAAAATGCTTATTCAGTAAAAAAAATATTAAAAATACTTTCAAATAAAATACTGAGTGAACCATTAAAAAAAAAATCTAATATTTAATAATATTTTAACAGTGATTTTTTTTTTAATTTTTCATGCATTATAATTTTTGTTGAAAATTATATTTAAAAACTCACTTTTAAAATTTAATTCGTCATTTGGCAAATTATTTGCTTCCCAAGCTGGTGTCAACCGAACAGGTTCTGCTAAAAATGGAGATCTCTCGCTTGATCCATCTATTTATTAAAAGAAAATTAGATTACATATTAGCTATAATGTATGTTTATAGGTATAGACATATGCAAAAAATAATCTACGTTTACCAAACCAGAATGCGTGTATATCATTATTCATTACATATGTATTATACATGCCTCTTATATTAGTAGTACATGTCTCCTATATTATTTTCTATACAAAACTTACTTTGAAACTGATTTTTTGCGAGCAAATCCGTTTCTTCCTTGTTAACCATTTCTGCAATTCAAAGTATGTATATCTAAAAACGAAAACAAAAAAAGAAAAACAAAAATAAAACCAGAACTTCAAAATAAAATTTAAAATATAAAAAAGATCTTTCTTTTGCATTGTTGTAATAAATCTGACGGATTGAAAAATATTTCTTATATGTGTATGAACAGTGGTGTGATTTGAGTCGGTTCAAATCCTATCGTCTTAAATGGATTTATTATATATTTTTTTTAAAATAAAAACTTCTAAAAATTAGACAGAGCATAGAATAATATTATACAAGTTCTTAAAAATTTAACTCTTATATTGTTCAAACAATTGCAAATATGTAATTTTAATCATAATAAAAATCAAATGATATTTGCTAAATTAAAATTACATACAAAAAATTAAAATTATCAGTTATTTTTAATTGCGCAGAAATATTTCTAAGTAGTCTGGACATTATTTCAATGTTTTATTCAGCTAGCAATAAAATGGGATTTCTACACTACACTTCTAAATCTAATTGAAATTTTTTAAGAAATTGTTTAACTTTACTCCGACTCTGTCTTAATAATTTGTTTACGTTAGTTATATTTCATATACGAGTATACATACACATATTTATGTTCCCATGTATTTATTATAAAATAAAGGAATAAAGCGAAATTCTTCCAATATTTTGTCTGGCTTTAAAGGTCACTTTAGGCCGTAATGTCTTTTGACAATAAAAATTATCTAAAAAATACATATCTGCATAATATATATGTATGGGGTACATAACTACATATTTTTTGTCTGCTTTAATAAATTCAGATTAATTGGATATAAAAATGTTTAAAATCGGCAAAAAAAAATATCAAGTGTGAAAAATTTTTTGATTCTGCTTATAAAAATTATTAAAAAGTAGTTCAAGGGCTTTATTGAACTTGTATATTTCAAATATGCTTTTAAATATTCTTATTCACTCCTATTTAAAAAAAAAACGTTCTAGGATAACTGCGAATTTTAGCCTTTTAAGAAGAGAATTAAAATTAGAACTCAATAGATCTCAAGAGAACAGTTTTGCATATAACAAATTTTTTGCTCTAAATATTAAGTATTTAAAACTTAACTATCAAAATTAAACATTGGGAAAATGAAAATTACGAAATTTGCATACAGCGTCTGTTAAGCGAATCTTCTAAAAGATATTTAAAAAATCGAATGAATTAAGCAAAAGAAAATTTATTTTCAAAACTTCATACACATCCAGATTCATTTTTAAATAAACTTTTTTAACAAACTTTCACCTCTGCATTGTATGTACATATATAATTGTAAAATTATTTGTGTAAATTAATTCGCAGGGCCTGTAAAATCCAAAACGGTTATAAAGGCCAATAAAAACATTTCAATAAATAAATATTACATTTCTTTATTTTCATTTGTTTCTTTTTTTCATACTTTTATCCAATCTGATAATTTTACAAATAAAATAATAATAAATTAAGTACTTAGATATTACATTTCTGCTTATAATCAATATTTTAAAATTTTTTCATTTCAACATCTTTTTTTAAATACAATTTGCGAAAAATTTTAATTTGGAATATGTATGTATTACGAACGAAATCAAATATAAATATGAATGTACCTTAAAAAACCTCTTTTGCGAATTAAAAAATTACTAAAACATTTATTCACATTTTTAAGCAAACATAAAATGCATACAATCTCCTAAAATTGTTGACTACAAAATATCAAATTTAAAAAGATTTGCTATTTTCTTTTAGAAACTATTTAATTGAATTTGTATTAAATCTCTGATTGTTAAACCATGCGCTGTTCTCAATGCCATAGATTGTGGTTCATTTATATTTACGAAGTACTCAATTAATGATTTATCACCTTTTAAAATAGCAACAGCTAAAGCCGGTATATTTGACGATAAATTAAAATCTTCATACGTTCGATAATAAAATAAAAGTTTTACTAAATTTAAATTGCCTGAATATGATGCTAATGTAAGTGCATTTTGTCCGAAATAATTTATAGCATATATATTTGCTTTATACTTTAATAACAATTGAACAATTGCCATATTCCCGAAATAACATGCTGTTAATAATGGTGTATTGCCATATTCATCAATTAATTCAATGAAATTTGAATGATTTCGTTTACTTAGAATTATTTTTAAATTTTTGATATCTTTCTTTTTTATTAAATTAAAAATATTCATATTTTTTAAAGATGCGAATATTTTCTGTACACTGAATTACAATCATTAATATTTTAAATAGACTGTAAATGATTTTTGGATGAAGAGAGACGTACTTCTGTTCTTTTTTTTTTCAAATTAACTTTTAATAAACCTCTCTAGCTAATTTTAACTAAAGAATTAACGGTTTTTGATGTCATACATATAAGTGTATATATATATTGTATAAAAAATTTACAGAAAGACAAAATCCGTGACATTATATTTAATGCACTGGGTTTATAAGTATGGAAACTAATCGATGATGAAAATCGATTGTAAGAAAAACGAACAAGAACACGCAATAAACAAATTGAATTACAAATTAATATATATGTAAGTATTTATATATAAAATTTAATAGGCACTTATTATTTGAATCTGAAAGAAACAAATAATTTCGTAGAAAATAAAAATAATTATTCCAAAAGAATGAAAAAATTACTATCGAAAACTCCAAAACCCCAAAATTTTAAATATTCTGCAAGCAAGTTTTTATAATCGTAATATTATGATGTTGGGTATAATTCAGTCGGTTAAGAGCGGCTGGAACGTTTTCACTCATTTTTCATTTGCATTACTAATTCAAACTAATACCCACTCACGTATACATTTATGTACATACATTGTATTCAAGTAAATAATAAATAGAAATTATTTACTTGTATAAAATTTATTTTTAGATTTTTTTTCATTTTGATTGTAATTATATCATAATCTATTACTAAAATGGTTTCGATATTTATAGAACATTGCATATACAATAGTTATCATGAATTATTACAAATTTCGCTTCTCACAATCATCATGTAAAATTGTTTTTCCCATCATGTTAGATTGTTTTCAACATTCACACATTCCTGATTTATTTCCTAAACAAGGGAGAAAAATATGGAACCTACAACTTTGTTTCTTTATTTTGTATTAAAATTGGTTTCAATTTATTTTCATGATTTCGACTATACTCCCTGCATTTTACAATTCTTTTAATATGTAAATTCAAAAGAATTAGAAATTAAATATTCAATATAATTTTTAATAAACGAACTAAAAGCCTTTACTTCTTCTCATTATCAGTTCTTTTGACAAAAATTTCATTCACCTAGTTATTTACCAGGTACAAAAATTGCATAGAGCTTCTCCTAATTTTTATCACAAAACTTTTGATTTTATTATAAAACGATATTACCTATATTTAATTCGTTTTTTTTTTCAAATTTTTACAATAATTCACAGACAACTATTACTGAGCTCTTTCCAAAATAATATTCAATTACTTTTTACTTGTGTGTAACAATAAGAAGATACAAAATAAAAACCTATTGACACGAATAAGAATGAGAAGCACTGTAAATTTAATTAATTTAATATGTACAAACGATTTAATATGTGTAATGAGTTGGAATTATACCACTTACACATATGCATATTGTATCATATTATGTTTATATTATTATATTACTATATTATATATTTATACAGATAGTTTTGTTAAAATTTGTGAAGGATGTTATTATCACTTATCCATAGATGTCTTGTGTATACAAGTATAATGTCATATTATGTAGATGTACTTTTTGCATTTTGAAAAAAAGATAAGAAATATACTTATTTTAAAAATTAAGAAAATACAAAATTTTATAAAAAGTTTTTGTATTGCTAGGTATATAAATATATTATATATATTTGCAAGTATAGGTAATTTCGAAATAAAAGTTCTTTTTGTAACAAAGTAATAAAAAAAATAAATAACTCTAATCAAAAAATGTTATGACCTACAAACATCATAAATTTCTATTTCGTTTGATCTTGGTAAGAAATGTAGAAGTGTCTATTTAAGTACTGTGAATTGCGGGCACTTAAGTATTCATATGATTGATTACACATACTCATATTCGTAATATAATATTAATATAAGAATGTTGCATAAATATTTCATTAAATATAAGATAATATAAGATAACACCAAAAGTTTTTTAAATTGTTATTAATATTCATTTTATTTGTCCCGCAGTTTTGCTATAAATATTGATTATTTATTAAAAATCTATCTAGTAATATATCTAACTTGAATACGGAATAATTAAACAGAATTATCTTTATTACATCTTTACATTTCTTGTATACATATATGTATTTTTGTGATATATGCATATTATATATATATATATATAATTTGACTACAAATACCATTTTACAAACATTGCATTTTATTTTAGTACCTAGTAATTGCTAAGTATGTATAATAACTATAAATAAATAGGAAAAACTTTTGACCTTAGTGTTGTTCAAAATTTGCCGTGTTTTCATTATTAAGATAAGATTACTATGCGAGTCCGAAAAAATGAATTTTTTAAATTTCAATAGGATTTTCAATTGGTAACACAACTCATTTAAATAATTCATTGTTTTAAAGCTTAAACATTTTATAAAATTTATAGGTACATAGTCTATCTATAAATCTCACGTGTATACATGGAAAATTTTGTATAAATTTTCCCACTTTTATACTAAAGTTTAGAAAAAAATCTTGTAGCATGTCAAAATTAATTACCGATTATCTATTGTATTTTATTACATTTTTTCTGTTTTTTTCTGTTTTTTTATTTTTGGCACATTTTTAGTGATCTAATATATATGTACATAGTTATGTGTAGCACAAAAACATTTTAAAATAAACTAAGATATTTGTAAAAATATAAAAACCATGTGGCTTTTAATTTACTTGAATTTTCTAAAAGCACATTTAATACTTGTGTTATGGTTCACTTAATTTGAGTGTTAATCACTTTTCCTTTTAAAAAAAATTTATAACTTAAAATTGTAGATTCTAATTACATGTTTTATATATATAAATGCATATATATACACATAAATACCTATAAATATTCCAGGATACGCGTCTTTAATTAAATTATTTCAGCAATATTCTTTTATAATTTTGATGAAAATTGTATTTCACTTACCAAATGAAAAAAACTAATTAATTTTCTATTTAATAATATACAAATTTAGTTTTATTGTTATATTTTGTACTTCTAAAAAATTAACTATACATACATATATGAAAAATATAAAATATGATAAGTATTTTATTTGTTTAGTACTAAGATTGATTATTGATTGATATTGACACAAGCTTTTGATAATGACATTAAGTGTCAAAATGTTTTTGACATTAAAAGTCATGAAACATATAACCGAATGTGTATTTGGTGGCCGTTTGTATAGGCAAGTTTGTATAAATACTGTTTACACAATATACGACAAAATTTTAGATACTACATATTTGCAAATACGACAAAATCTAAAATTAAATCTACGCTTAAATCGGATGACAGTTTACATTTACCTGATGATGTAAATAATCATCAGATGTACATTTTTAAACAGTTTACCATCAGACTTTGTCTGACGGTACAAACAAAGATGCATTTTCCTCTGAATGTCCGGACGTTTGGACAATAATTTTAGCCAATCAAAATGCTTCATTTTACTAACCCATGTGCAAAAATGAAATGAATTCACAGTTCGTTCATCTACTTTTTTGGGTTAAAAAATATTAACTTTTGACTAAAGGCTGAAGCAAAACACATACTTTATTAGGATATTTTATTTATGTATTTAAGAATTGAAATATCAGTCCTTCGGTACATAAGATGAAAACGAATATTTTTTCTTGTATGTAATTGTATGAGTAAAAACTATTTTATTCGGACTTTCGGACTGTGGGAGGAAACGCATGTTAGTATAAATTACATACTGTATTCTCATTAGTACCACTGTCAGATTTTTTAAAAGTAAAATGGCCACAAGTCGTTATATTTTTCTTAACAAAACTATTAGATTTTTTATGTAGAGTCTAAGTTCTGTATCAAATAATTTCAGTCTTTTTAACTTAAATAACTTTATCGTGATTTAATAATTGGCATAAATGCTTTAAATTTATACGTCATATACCTTAGTTTCAACTTACATCCAGGATTCGTTCCTAAAATGAAGGACTTGAAATGGAACGACTTAACGAATAAAAACTTTGCTAACAGAAAAATTTACGAATTAAACTGTCTCTTTCAGTCCAACTTTTATGTGTATCGTATTACATCAATCAACTTTAAAGTATGAATTAGCTCAAAATTCAAATCTAAAAAATATAAACTAGAAACAATGATGCATATGCTTTTCTTGATTATGTCAGAAAGCTTTATTGAAATTTTGACGTTTACCACCTATTTATGATGTTTTTAAGAGTTTTTTAAACTTTTGCGTCTGATTTATTGCGAAAAAATTTACTGGCTTTTTGCGAAAAATGCCTCATTAACCTCTTTTACAAGTTTTTTTAAGTTTTATACCAGACAGACTTAACGTTTCGCTTTTAAAAAAACTCTTATTCTGGTACATATTTAACATTAAAACCTTAAACTTTATTTTTACGGGTACATAATGGACAATTGACGCACCAAATGTATTGTCCGCAACTTCTCTTCTTAATTTTAAAAAGGCAGAGATTGCGTTAGATACACTACTTAGTGGCATTTAAATTTAAAGTTTAATTAGAAAAGTGGTATTTTTTGACTATTTGTTTTCTTTTTTCCTTTAGAGCTTAATCATCTAAATAAATTTGTCATACACCATTTTGACGTCACACGGAACGTTTGATAGATAAAGTTATAATTTATTTTTTTATAACTATTTTATACAGATACCTGTAAAATGCAACTGCCGTACCGTAGTGCTCAAATGAAAAATTCCAAAATGGTGGAATTGTGGATATAAAAAATAAATAAAACATAATTAACGTTTTTTGCAAATTTTTTAGTTTCTATCTGAACTAGGCTTATTAAATGAAAAATGCAGTTGCGAACAAAAAAGCAGGAAGTAGGAGCCGAATTTATATTTTTTAGCATATCTAGGGAATTATTTGACGGAATTTTAATACTTGAGTTGCGTTTGCTACTGGAAGTAATTGAAGAACTTGAACCCCATCCAACTAAGTACGAAATTCACATTTTTATACGCATACTAACTAAAAATTTCACTAGGGCCCTTAAAATTTGAAAGAATTATTTAAAGGGCATTGTCGTAATCAAAAACTTTCGCTGAGCTAAATAATACGGGTACCTTGCGGTAGTTTTGTACTGATCGTATCGTGGACTTTATTTTGCCTTTCGTAGTGCGTACTTTATATCATATTAATTGGATAAAATTTCCTAATTTAATTAAAAATCAAACTACAGAAATGATAATGAAATAGTTTATCTATTTATTTATATGAAACTTAGACTTTAAAAACTTATATAAGTTAATACATAAAATGTCATGTCCAATATTCAAGAAATTATAAAACAAATTCGACTAAATTTATATCGTTTAACAAAATTATGTTATCTATTACTAAATTTTAATATAAAACAAAGCTTTTAAAACTTAATGAATAAAACAAATAAAAAATTAACATTTAACAATTTTGATCAATAGCAAAAATTTTAGTTTTACATCGTCACGAGATGAGCAGATTCTTTTAGACTAGAACACATCAAATCTTTAGAATATTGGCTAGAAAGGTGTACCCAAAGCATATGGCTGTATAGTACTTATTTATTCACTTTTAGTTTTACAAAAACCTAATGTACTTGATTATTTGAATGTATTATACAATTTATAATTTATGATATATGTAATCTATATGTCTGTATAATAATAACAATTTGAAAATATCAAAAACAAAAACTCAAGCTTTATATAATACATTCCGCATAACAGTACTGTTGATTTGAATATTGATATTTATAGCAACTCATACCCTTTTACATGAAATATGACGTGTATTCATGTGGCATGACTCCACGTCGTGGATAAAAGGTATGATTTGTACCATAATTCAATAAGTTTGTAATACTACTCGTATATATGTCAGCAAATCTAAATAAACGTCTTGAAAAATACGACGGATTGTGATATGTTCTAAATACACTTCCAAACTGCTCATTGAAAACTTTTTTATTGGTAACCCTAAAAAAGTATAAATACAAAATTTAAGAAATTTTTTAATTACTTGTTAAATTTTCAATACCTTAATATATCACATTCTTTTTTCCATTTTTTTAGTGCAGCCACTGAAGCTTCTGATTCAATATCCTGATAATCTTCAATAAGCAATGTTAGCATCTGTAGCCAATTAACATTTGATTTAAAATTTTCATCGTTTAAGGTTTTTATTTCATGAGTTAATTCATGAATGATTGCTCCAGTACGCCAACCGTGTTGTAGTGTTACATCGGCCAGATCAGAATAAGGATGATCACCAAAATATAAAACTGAATGGCCCCTCCAACCAGTTAAATCTTGAAGCTGCTTAACAGTTCCTTCGTAATAAATTTTTCCTTTTTCCAGTTTCGTCACACGATCCCACAGATAACTGTTTGTTTCCTCGTTGAATTCACGTAAAGGCGTAGTAACGTTTGTAAAAAAACGTGGTTTTCTTGCTTGCACAATTACAACATCAAAAAAGTTTCTCCAATTTTCTCCGACCAAGAAAGTCATACCTTTATCTCTACAAAGGTAAGTTAATTTTTAAAGTATTTGTACAAAATACGGGGTTTTCGGTAATTATTCTAAACTGAAAATAAAACGCTTACGGCTCACAAGTTTTTTCAATTCTTTTGTGAAATACTATGCAATAATCATATTCTATTTCAATTAAAAGAAAAATACCGAAAACCCTAAAAGTAAAAGTTAAATTACACAAAAAAATATGGACTATTTGTTACTAAAAACAACTTTCTTCCAGTTTCTTGCAGCCTTTGAAAAAATTTTCGTAAATCTGGATTATACTGAATATACTTATCTGGGTCACTGTAAACTGTTTGATGCATAATTGGATGACTACTTTGTACTGAATGTTTGACATCATTGAACAAAACTAGAATAGAGAATATACTAAATGTATGTACACACATGTGACTAATTTGTAGATTCTTACTTGCCGGATGGTAATCAATTCCATTTTTAACGAAGTATTCCGTTATGTTACATAACAAACCCATTTCAGGCACAGAAAACAGGTCAGCCAATTGAATCATATTGGCCGTTTTGGCTTTAGGATCCTGCAAAAATAGACGTTTTTATAAGTATAATTATTACATTTTTTTTTACATTGGACTTTAAATCTCCTTCCACATATGATACAGGAAGCATACGATTTTTATATAAGGATAAAATTTCCTCTGGAGGAACTGGAGTTAAGCCCCGATAAACAGATTCCAATTGAATTTGTAAAAATGAATCCAGTTTTAGCAGCAACCCTTTTTCTATATCGTAATGTAAACCTCGAACCGCAAAACCAGGAATATACTCCAGTTTTTTTATTGCTTCCGGATACTATTAAGAAAAAATACTTTGATTTGGAATTCAGTAAAATATTTATATATATATATATATTTATATGATTAATTGACAATACGTAACAATACAGTATATGCATCTAAAGAAAATTAGATAACAATATGTAACAATACTGTTACATATATATGCAACAGTATATATGTAACAGTATATCTAATAATATGTAACAATACTGTATGCATACAGTATGTGCATCTAAAGAAAGTTATATAAACATATATTAAAAAATTTCATTTTATTTAAAAGATACCTTAAAATAATCTACAATTTTATCTCTTCCTAAATTGTAAAGGAGTTTGTCCAAACTCGGCTTATAAAATGCCAAAGTGTAATCATAGTCAAAGCCAAAAACAGTAACCTCTAAAAGCAAGAAGTAAAAAAAATCCTAGTTAATAGCATCACTATACTAATTTATGTTATTAATTAATATTCTTGTTAATTCATAATATAAATTAGAAATTAATGTTCTCTATATGTAAATATATTTTGTTTCAAAAGTTAAATATAAGGAAAAAATTGAAGGAAATTTCGAAAAAGTGTGATCTTAAATGTCACCTTTGCAACGATGGCCCATATTTACCTTTTAATGCGAGCTCATTACATGCAAATACTCCCACTTCGTTAACATCCTTTGGCAATTTTTTAGCTAAACAGTAAAAGAAAAATGATTTTAAATTTTTATACTTTATTACAAATAATATAAATATATATAAATATATTAAGTATTATAAAAATATTTTCAGTAGGTACAATCATCTGAAATGGTATTTATATGCCTTTCAAATATTTGGTAATTAAAATTATTAATATACATAGTGCTAATTAGTTTATATAAAAAATCAAACATTTTAAAAACAAAGTGTTTTATTTACTGGTTCTGTAAATTATTATCCGTACATACATTATATTTGAAGTTTACTAAAATTATCACCCTTGAATTACTTGTACTAAATCCAAATATGTACATATTACAATTGTATATCACGAGTCACGACCAAAAAAAATAATTAAAAAAAATCTTTGTAGGTACTTAAATGATTATAGTTGCCAAATTTTATTTTTCTAATAGAAAATTTAATAGTTTATGATTTTATTCGCCATTCACAAATCGAATATTTGGCTTTAGTAGAATTCGTCCTTTATATTTCCTTCATTGAAATTAACGGATTTTTGCACCACTATGTATACATTTTTTAATAAAATTTATCTTACATTTATTTCAAGGCAAAATTACATAATATTTCAAGAAAAATCGTTTGTAAATGCATACTTACTTTTAAATTTTTCTTTAGTCTGTAAATAAATGTTTTCAAAATCCTTATCTGTATATTCTTGTAAATTATGTGCAAATTTTTTATCAAAATAATTTTGTAGTGCACCGTTTCCAAATATTTGCGTGTAATTAATATTTTTGTGTAATTTTGAAATATTTTTACTTATTGTCAGCATTTCACTTAATAATCACAATTTTATTATCTTATAACAGAAACTTATATAAAAATTCTTTATTTATAATAAATGTCTTAATGTCTATGTATATTTCATAAATATGCTCCTCAATTAATTTGTAAAATAATGAAAATTGAAAAGCTAATAAATGTCAATATATTAATTTTTACCATATCTTTTCCTATTGTGAATGAAAATCAAATGATACTCTACACAATTTAAGGTGCATATCCGTATTTCAAACTGATGAAATGCTTCAAATTCGAGGACAATTTGTAATATTTCATTTATTATTAGGATTCTTTAAACTCACTCCTTTGACCTAGCTGTCCTTCTTGCGTCCTCTTCTATTGCCGTAAAGTAACATACTTGTTGTAAATTTGGCTTAATCTAAATATAAAATCTTATAAACATTTAAGTTGAAAACAGAAAAGAAGAGAAATCAAGCAAATTCACCACGGCGAATTTAACGCAAGTTTATATTGCAAAATAATATGCAAAATATGTACTAAAGAGTTGAATTTGCCTTTTTGCTGTTGTTTTGGGTCAACAACAAAAATCATCGGTCGTTGCGGGTTACTTTGGTAATAGTTTTACAATGCAGATTAATTTTATACCTATCAAACAAACTTTTGACAGCAATGTTTTGAACATTTGCAATTATGCAATCTGCAAACTTACAACTTGAAATTAATATAAAACAAAATTCAGCTGTTCGAAATCTTTTTAAAAATAATCCAATGTGTAACACGTATCTAACAGATTTACTGTTATATCAAGTAAATAAATATCTATTATTTATTAACAATTAATATATCGACTGCTAAATTTACAATACATATTATATAATACTTTTAATGAACGCACACGAATTTTATTTTAAGCAGTACTAATATAAACACAAAATGAACAATTTGGGAATTTTTAAATTTCGTGGCATGATTTTAGGTATACTTAAGACCAGTTATTTAACTGGACCCTGAAATAGAATATCGTATAAAAAGTGAACACTGAGATTTTATATTGTAAATACAGATTTTAAATTATGGAAATGTAGGCTTGTGATTCATGAAAAGTCAAATGATATGCATTCCAGGCACAATTCAACGTATTGATCAGTTTGATAAAAATATAAAGTTGAGTCCAAATTTTTTGATTTCTTTGAATTAACTAAGTTGATCAACATGTTGGACCGATCATCGCATTATTCCTTCGTATCTCAAATACGAAATAGTAGAATGACGGTACAATGCAGTTACGGATTCACATCTTCAAATGAAGAAAAAACATAACCTTATTTTTTTTCATATTCTGACGTGCAATTTAAATCACGGACTCCGTTGGAAAAAAAACTGGTAACCTAGATGGAATTTTGGTTTCTAAAGCATAATAAAGTTAAAGAGTAAAAAATTTTTAAATTTGAAAAAAAAAATATTGATTTGTTCGAAATATTCTAGTTGTGTTGACTTCAGCGCTGCCAAAAGTAAAGATTTAATTTGAATGAAGGTTTTTCGGTAATATTTTTTGTGCAAAACTCCAAAAAAAGATTTTTAAATTTTAAGATTTACTAAAAATTTATTAAAAATATGTATGTATTTTTAAAGTTAAGGTTTTTCATACCCTTATTATGATCGGCGAAGCGAATGGCTAAGCGAGTCTAATGGACTAAAGCGAATTGCTAGGCGAATAATCGAATGGCATTTTAAATTATGATCGGCGAATGCTTTCATTCGGCAGATCCAAAATGTTGCTACTGTAAGACATCAAGAAACCTACCAAAAATAATGAGGATGACACTATGTACATTGTTTTTGTGTTTTTGCAGAAACAATTATTGAATTTTTCTATTTAGAAATGTCGGGGTTATTGCCCATTAATTTATTTAAATGCTCGAATTGTTTTTGGTTCGTTTTCCATTATATCCTTATAAATGCTATAATATCCAATAAAAAAACACTTGTATAACATAAAAACGTATGTATTATTTTGATTTTTGGTTTCATTCACCTAGCTTGTCACACAGAATTTTCATTCAACAGCAATCCGAAATTCATCATCAATTCAAAATTTAGGCAAATTCGCTAATCATAATACGAGTACCAAAAATTTATATTCGCCAAAAACTTCATTCGCTTCGCCGCTCATAATAAGGGCTTTAATGCTATTGAAGTTTTTCAGAATTGGAATTTTTTACACCTTTTCTATTTCTATATGAAACATTTTGATTAAATGTGATGAAAGTGAATTTAATAGGCAACGCATGTTAAAGCAATTTCCTTAACAGAAAAATTTTTGATATTCTCTGATTTGAAGATCTCGAATGTATCGTGAAAATTTTTTTTATTAAATCTTTAACATGAAGATTTTATTTAAAAAAATTAAGACATTTAGGTTAATCTATTTGGCAGCATTGGTTGAGTATCATACTCATGAATAATTTCGACCACGTTTGTAAAGGAAACGCAGCTAATACTCAAGTAGAGAGGCCAGCTTTTATTAATATATGGGAAAATCAGTTTTCAAATTAAGCAAAAAGAATTTATATAAAAAAAATATCTCTGAAATTAATAAATTCAAATTTTAGTTCTCACCTTGATTATTATAAAAATATATATTTATCCTCCACTGCTAATTTTCATCTCGGGCATAATATGTCAAAAACAATTTAGCTATAGTTATACTCTTGTAATACAGTTAAAATTTTTTTGACAAATACGCGAGAATAATTATTGCTTTCAGAGAAATATGACTTCATTATTCTAAATAATTATTTTGAGTCATGAAAAAAAAAAATTCTAAATTCAAACATTTAAAAAGAATGCAGCATAATTATTTTACGCACAATGCGTATTTAAAAAAAAATAGTATGAAAAATGCATAATACAGATGAATGAATGTAATAAAACACATATTTTATTGCACTTTTACATAAGATTATATGAAGTGAAATTTCGTTAATTCAATTTGGTATTGAAATTTTTGTTTTCAATATCAAATTGAATTGAGGAAAAATTGTTTTTAATGGAAGTACATAAGAATATATCAGTTTTTTCATTAACATTTTAATTGCAAAAAATATATGAAAATAGTTTAACTAGCTTTAATTTAAAGTGTCAAAATTGCATTTCTTATCTAATCTGACGATGTAAAAAAACTTTTTCCGTAACCAAAGGCTTATAGGGTAATCAAAATGTCTACATTTTTGTACTAAAATTTTTAGCCATTTTAAATTTTTTTCCAAAATATTCTACAATCTGTCTTAGTTCTACAAATTTAAATATATATATAGGTTTCTTTTTAGCTTACATATTATATGGCATTCTTTATGTCATGATTAAAGGACAGATATATTTTTTTTCAAAAACAACAACTACAAAACTTAAAAAATTCTCCGCATGACGCGTTACCTTGTTGTACTAAATAAGTCTTTCTACCATTTTCCGCCATGAAGGGACGCGTTACTTTTTGGAAAAAGAATTATTAAGTGAAAAATATTGTTAAATTTTTAAAATCGTGCTCAAAATACTTGAGAAAAATTATCTAAGAATACGGTGAAGGAAAATTATCAAGTTTTGACTAATTGAAATAACAATTTTATAGATTTTTTTTTGTCCGGACGGTGAGTGTTTTTCAGTTCAATTTGGCTTGTATTGTGATAAATGTTCAGTGGATTATTAAGTTAACCAATTTTTTTTTAATACAAAATAAGTTAAATTTTTATAATAATTTATACCGGTGAAACACAATCTTATTGAAATCATATAAGTAAATATTGCAATTTTAAATTTATTTAAAATAATTTGTGAAATTTTAAAACATTATACAGTGTTGAGGATTTTTGATAATAAATATTGATTTGGATCATTCGCATTATTCTAGCCGTCATATTCTACATTATACTCGTCATTTAAATCGCCATTGTAATAATGCCGAGAAAGTGCTAGGTACATATTTAAATTGAGCATATTACTTTAGCAAAAAATACACGTGCATTTTTTAAATAATTTCTCAAAATTTATAACAAAAAATATTTAATCACAATTTATATCGAGTTTTTATATTTTAATTATATTGGAAAATTATTAGTATAGATACAACACCCAAGTAAATTTTTTGTTAAGTGAGAAGAATAGTACACACAATAACATATACATATATATATATATACATTTGAATATATATTTATATATAGGTACAAATGAATATATAGATGTATAATATTCACACTTTTATAAAATGTTTTATGGAAAACAGCTATGGATACAATATATATAAATATACATATAAATCGCAGATAGACAAAATTTATCTCCATAAAATTGTCTGTCTGACTTCTATAAAATGGTAAAAAAGAAAAACGAAGTAAAAAAAAATTGACTAGGTAGGTAAAGTACTCAATGCGATTACCTGTTTTAAAAGAGTACCTTTTGTAAGTTACTGAAGTAAATTGTGTAATATAGTTAAGGGTCTTGTACTCCAACTTCATGTGTCATGCAAAAACAATGAAAATATGTGTGAATATATTAAGTTGTTTCTCAAGATATCGCTCATTTATGTATACATATATATTTACATACATTTATTATATATATATATAATTATTTACAATTTTTATATTCATATGTACATTAAAGATATGCACATATATATATATATGTATATAAATATATATATTGTATGTAAATATGAAATTGTACTATAAGCACATTCTTCATAAATTCTTTTGTGTATTAAGTTCAAGTGAATAAATTATGTAGATACAAATAAAGTAACATTTCAAAAGTTTTCAAGAATTTTAAAATAACATTATGAAATTTTAACGACATGACCTTGACTTTGATTTTATATTCGTCACATTATAAGTTATCAATAAATATTGTTTTAAGTAAAATAAAAATAAATACAAAAGCTAATAATTGTATTATAGCTGTTTGATTTACGGAAAGCAGGTGTGATAGATTTTTATTATTTTTGATAGAGTTTTCGAGAACTCCCCATCAATTCAAATATTTCATTATTTTAAAGTAATTTAAAAAAAAATTGCCAAAATATGAAAAACATAACCATAGCATAATATTTTTAAAATGCACGTTTAATACTTCCGCTTTTATTAACAAAGTATTTTAAATTTTTATTTTCATTTAATAAATCTAAAATTTGTAGCAATCAAAATACATGAAACATGAAATACGTATTTGTTGGTATATAAATAAAATAACAAATTCAGCCCAAATTTATAAACAAAAGATTTTTGGATTAACTTAAGCGACACTTCTGTTGTTTGTTTTATGATTTTTTATGTACATACTTTTATATACATTATATACTCAAAAAATTTAATTATTGCAAGTTAATATTTAAGTGCAAGAAACAAAACATTAATATAGGTAGGTATACCTACATATGTTACTATGCTACGACCGATATAGGTATCAAATAATTTTGTATCTACGTAGGTACGTACCTAATCCAAAATTTATCATTTTTCTGATATAATTATTTATAAATATGTACATGTTGCGGGTATATTTAATACAATAAAATTTCAAAAACTTTTGAATCATAGCAAATTTTGTCGAATATTATTGTTTTCTAAGGGACTCAGTCGTATGAAAATATTTTCTATTTATTTAAACATTTTCATATTTTATAATTTAAGTAGGTAGGTAGGTACTTACCTATATACATTAAATAATATATTTAAATAAAATGATTTAATAAACATTCTAATACCATTTCCTTATTTTTTTCCCAATTTTAGGAATGTACGATGCAAAAATGAAGATATTTTGTCCTGAAAAGGTTTTATCTTCATTGTAAATTTGAAAATTGAAAGAAAAGGAAAAAATAATTAAGTTTTGGTCAAGCATATATTTAGGCACTAACTTGTCAATAAGCAAATATATATTATATATAATAAAGAATTAAATATAATCACACATAAAGAGGATAAATTTTGTTTCTAAGAAAAAGCAGCACAATATATAAGCATAACATAGCTCAAAATAAAAAAAAAGATATAATTTATAAACGTATAAAATAATATTATTACACACTAAAGTTTAAGTTAAATATATAAAAATACTTTTAGAGAATTTAAGTCATTCATTTATATATAAAGGGTAAATATTGAGTAAAGGATAAATATTATTTTTACAAAATACAAAAATTAAAAATAAATTGACAAAATGGATAAATCAATGATGATGCCAAAACGTTCGCGTCTGGATGTAAAGGGACCTTTTGCAAATGGTCCTTTACAACAGTCTAGGCCATTGGTTGCTTTGTTGGATGGACGTGATTGCTCCATTGAAATGCCTATATTAAAAGATGTTGCAACTGTAGCATTTTGTGATGCTCAAAGTACATCAGAAATACATGAAAAGGTAAATAAAATTTTACGTAATATAAACAATACTTACTAGCAGATAATTACTTAAAATTCAGGTTTTAAATGAAGCTGTAGGAGCATTAATGTGGCATACAATAATTTTAACAAAAGAAGATTTGGAAAAATTTAAAGCATTACGTATAATTGTACGCATTGGTAGTGGGACTGATAACATTGACGTTAAAGCAGCTGGTGAACTAGGTATTGCGGTATGCAATGTACCAGGCTATGGTGTCGAGGAAGTTGCTGATACAACAATGTGCTTGATATTAAACTTATATCGTAGAACTTATTGGCTAGCTAATATGGTTAGAGAAGGAAAAAAATTTACCGGACCTGAACAAGTCAGAGAAGCAGCTCATGTAAGGGACATGATTTTAAAAAAAAGTAATTTTTCCCTTACTTGAAAAAAAATTGTTTTAGGGTTGCGCAAGAATAAGAGGAGACACATTAGGTTTAGTTGGTCTAGGACGCATTGGAAGTGCTGTCGCCTTAAGAGCGAAAGCATTCGGTTTCAATGTTATATTCTATGACCCATATCTTCCGGACGGCATTGACAAATCTCTTGGTTTGACACGTGTTTATACATTACAAGATCTACTTTTTCAATCAGATTGTGTATCGTTGCATTGCACATTAAATGAACATAACCATCACCTTATAAATGAATATACTATTAAACAAGTATTTCAAAATTATTTTAAGTGTATCTTCATGTAAGATATAAATATTATCGTATTTTTAGATGAGACCTGGTGCATTTTTGGTAAATACTGCTAGAGGTGGTTTAGTTGATGACGAAGCTTTAGCTATATCGCTAAAACAAGGAAGAATTAGAGCTGCAGCTTTAGATGTTCATGAAAATGAACCATATAATGTATTCCAGGTGAAAATCAAGTCAACCTAGTTTAATCTAATTATAAAATAAAATTATATTTTAGGGAGCACTAAAAGACGCTCCAAACTTAATATGCACACCACATGCAGCTTTTTATAGTGAAGCATCTTCAACAGAATTACGAGAAATGGCAGCAACTGAAATTAGGCGGGCGATTGTTGGCAATATTCCAGATGTATTGAGAAATTGTGTTAACAAGGAATATTTTATGAGAACACCTAACGCAAGTGCTGCACACGCAGCTGCATACACAGAAGGTAAATCCATGTTGATAACAAATCCAGAAAAATAAATAACTTTTTTTTATATTAAATCATTTAATTAAAAATTAAATTCGTGCTTCGTTTTAAGTTACTTTTTTAATAAAAGAAATATATGAAAAATAGAAACAATAATTAAGTATATGAAAATGAAAGAAACAAGAAAAAATATTATTAAAACAAAATGAGACAAAAAAAAACACTTAAATTAAGAAAATAATCACTTTTAATTTTTTAACCTTAATTTTTATTTCATACATATCAGAAATAGTAAAACAAAAATAGATCCAGAAAATATAATTTTTATAAGATATCTAACAAATTAATTAAATCGAACAAATAAGTTGTGGAGCTACTTCCATATTTTTGTAATTTTTACATATTTGTTTTTCATTTTTTTATTGTTTGGTAAGTGGTGCTAAGCACTGTATTGATAGAATTTCATTTTGCTAAAGATTATATTCCTTTTTTAATATACTTTTTCAAATAGTTTAATTTTTATGAATTTGGATTTATAGACTTATTAAAAAAAATGAAATGAATGGCATATAAAATTTATTAAGTGTTTTAAGTCCCAAGCCCACGCTTTGTTTGATTAAATTATTTGGGTAAATAAAATTATAAGAAAATAAATACATAAAATCAATAAGGAAATAAGATAATAAATTATAAATTTCTTAAGGTGAAAGTAAACAAAGATTGATTGAAAAAAATTACAAATTTTAAAACTACTTAAGATAAATATCAATATTCTTCATTTTTAGTAATTAAATTCAGTTACGAATTTATTAGAAAACTAAAAGTTTCCTTATTTTTTTAATTCCCTTAATTTTAGAGTAACAGCTTGAGGTTGCAGGTCAATCTCTTCGAATAAATATTCAATAATTTTTCCAAGATAAAAGTAAATTTGGCATTAACATTTATCGTTTTGTCAAATAGCAAATACAAATGATTGTTCAGGGTTTACATCAAGTAAATGTTTAGTTGCGTTTTGTTTTTCCAATTTACACTCAGGCATATACGCATTTTTAATATAGTCAAGAATCAAATATTTTAAGAGGGATATAAAAATTATATACTAATAAAAATATTTTTAAGTGATTTTTGCACGTTTAGTAAAGTTAATTTACAAACAATATAATACAACTGTTTTAAAATGTATGTATGTACTTTTCTAAAATGCGCTCAACTATGATTTAAACTTGTTTTTTTTTTTTAAATCAGCTAAAGTGCGTATGCTTTATTGTGTTTGCTTAACTCTTATCGTGTTTATACTTTATTTGATAATAATTCTTATCTATAAAAAAATATATAAAAAAATATTTTTTTAAAATGGTTATTAGTAGTTTTTTCCGAAAACTTAAAAATAATAAAAAATAAACTTTTATTACACAACACCTAAATTTTAACTTTAATATCTAAAGATCCAAGGTATATGTTAGTTTCAAGAAACGTTAATTAAGCAGAAAGAACCATTTAATATTGAAGTTAATTAAAAAAATGTGCATTTAGCTGAATATTAGTAAAATTCTAAAAGAATTTGGAAAAAAGGGAATTATCTTCGAAATTAAAGGAATATTGATATTTAAAAATAATCGAAATTAAACTTATAGGTTGTTTTGAATTTTAAATTTATTAAAATTGATTTTCCTTTTTTTCTTTTTCGCGTAAAAGGTAATTATTTTTTTATGTTTAATTAATTGTAATTCAGGAGTAATATTCCCTTTTTTGTATACGGAAAAAAGGAAAATAATATAAAAATAAAACATGTAATAAAAAAAAGTTATATTGCTGTGGCAAAATTTTTGTAAACTTGTACGTGAAACATAATCGATCATATTAAAATAAATGTTTATTAAATTAAAAATATGAAATAGAACAAAAAGAAAGTGATTTGTAAAAATTTCTAAATATGTATGTGTTTAGTTTCTTTATGCTAAAATTTGAATTATTTTAATTACAATTTTGCTATGTGATTTATTTTGAAATTTGTCGTAATGCTACATATGTAATTTTTATATTGTCATCATTATACAAATATGTTTGTCATATATTTTTATTTTTTTTTCTATTCTAACTATCATGTATATATATATCTATATATATATAAGTGCGTATATATATGTATACATATTATATTTTATAGTTATGTGAATTTCTGTTTAATTAATATTTAGGAATGGTGTGCCTACTAAAACCAAAAACTAAATACTAAATTATTGAAGTTTTACAACATATGATAGTGGCTTATGCGAGAATGTATAAATAATATGTGCTTACAAAATTTAAGAAATTGTTTAACTTTTGTAGTAGCTACGTATGTCGTATATATAAACATTCATGCATAAGTACATATATGCATCCGTGCTGCGTTATTTTAGGTTAGTAGGTTTTGATTTACCTATCAAAAAAAAATTGTTTTCAATAATACTAGTATTTTACACAAATGTTTTAGCACACAATTCTTAATGATTCAATTATCAAAATAATAAAATGCGATTAAAGGCAACTTAAAATTCGAAAAGCTGCAGAAAAAAAAGAAAAACAATTTTTGCTCTAGAAAGTGATCTCATCATCCGCGTTTATTTTCGCCTTAAACTTTATGTTTATGTATATTCACTTATTGAAGTAAAAATTAAAAAGATAATCAAATACAATTATAATAAATAAAAAATATACATAAATAAATTAAATATAAATTGATTTTTACAAAAAAAAAGAAAAATAAAAAAAAAAAACAAAAAATGAAATATACAAATTAAATAAAACTAAAAACAAAAAAATTTTTTTATGAAATGTTTACCCGCTGCATTCCTGAGCTTGAGATGATGAATTAATATTATTACCTTAAATATTTAGCTGGTCATCTTATATTTAATACGTAAAAAAAAATTTTAAATTATGTTTGACTAATAATTTTTTATTTTAGAATTAAATAATTATTGAGTCAGATAAAAGTAAAAACAACATAAATTGCTTACAATTTTTTACGTAAACTGATGAAATATTTTTAAATCTTTTTAGTTTAGTTTATGCGATTTTAAATATTTAGGAAACAATTTCTCACTTAAATTAAAACTTGGGCGTGCAACGGTTATATACCCAATTCAATAGTAAAAATTAACTTTATTTGAAAAGTAAATTATTAAAAATATTTGACAAAAAAAGTATTTAGGATTTGGAGAATTATTTTTGATAATTTTTGCACATAAATTACTCTTTAACTTGTAAATCTTAAAAAAATATATATATATGAAAATGAAAAAAAAAGTAAAAAATAGGAAAAGTAAGAAATTCTTTAATAAATCATAAAAAAATATAATTTATTTCTTTTAGTTATATTTTAAAATACATTACTTTTTACTCTAAAATTCATCAGTACGGTACATTAAGGATGTTATAATTTTTTTTTCAATTATGTATGTTATATAAAAAAATTCAAAAGAAAAAAATTAAAAGAAGAGAAAAAAGAAAAACTGTGAAACAAATAAAAAGATAAATTTTACATAAAAATTTGTTTTTTCTACTCCTATTTCATATTTTTAAATTTTATTTACCTTAATTTACTTTTTCAATAGATATACGTTAAATATATTATGTTTTAATTTTTAAATCTTTTAAGATTTATAATTACAGGAAATGAATTTTAATTTCAACAAAACAAAATGTAAAAATTTCTTTTATTTTATATTTTTAAAATATTTTAATTCATGTAAACAAAACTTGGGATGATGGAATCATAGTTTTTGAAGAGCATTTTAGTTTATAAATACATCCAAATATATAAATACATATAAATATATATATATATATATATATGTATATATATATATATATATATATATATATATATATATATATATATATAAATATATTTTTTTAACAGATTTTATAGATTTCTTACTTTATTATACTAATATTCATAAGTAAGAAGTAGTTAAAACTTATTCAACTTTATTATTTAGTTGATTTAAAAAAATTTTTTATGTGTATTTTCTCAATAATTTTAATATAATGCTTAGAGGTAATCGGGTTTTTCTTTTCTATCACTTTTTATTCTAAAATGTTTAACATATTTTGAAATTGGCTAACATTTTGTTTTCTTAAGTGTAAATAAAAAATGTATACATAATTCAAAAAATATGTAGATGTTATCATACCAAAAATTTTTATTGTGTATGCCTTTAAAAAACATTTTGTTATACATTTAAAAGTCGAAAAAAATCTTTAACTCATTTTAACACATTGTCATTTTAAAGTATGTCTAACCCTAATTGCAAAATTATTGGACATAATCATAAATACTAGATAAATATAAATGCTAGACAAATATATCTGAAGAAAGGCTTTAAAATTTGAATTACTCAAAAAATATTGTATGAAAAATGTTATAGCTTCATAAATTTATATTGAGTTATTGTACAAATACGTTTTATTTATTTTATTTTCTTAAAAATTAATCCACATAACTTGCGTACTTCTATAGCGGCCTCCGAAAATGTTATTAACATGTTACAAAAAACTGCTAACTTTGTAGTATAATTTCATTATCCATATATCAATATTTTTGTTTGTTTTTATATTTTATATTCATTTCAAGCTTAAATTAAATTTTTTTTACTTAAAATATTTCAAATATGTTTTTTCATTAAATATGTTAAATGATTTTTTTTTTGTTTATAATAATCAATTAAATTTTAAGTTGTTCTTATTTTAGAATTCAACGGATTTTGGGACGAAAAAATCTTAAAATACTTAAAATTATAAAAGAAGTTTTAATATGCATTGTATACAAAGTGTTTTTCAAAGCTATGAGGATTTTGTATTCAATTAAACTTTACGCTTTCGCTATTTTCGTTTTGTTTAAATAGTTTTTTCTTTTTTTATATTTTAATTTTAGAATGCATTTTATAAATTTTACTAAAAATTGAGCGTTATATAGAATTAATTAAGTTATTTTGTTGTCACAGTGTAGGTAAAAGGGAGAATAATAAAGAAAAAAAAACAGAAATGTTACTATTCGATCGACCGAAAACTTGTATATGATACATATAAAATAATATAATTAAAAACAAATTTTTCTACACTTAGCGGTGTTGAATCTGGGCTCTTAGACATTGCTTCAAATATCCCAAATTTTGAGTTCGTTTAATTTTTATTTTATTTTCTTTTGTAATTAAAAGGATTATCAAAATTTATGCTAATTCTAAAAATGTAGAAAAATCTTAACACTCACAAAAACTCTCAAAGTCACGTATTTTCCAAATTTCTGTTGCAGATGAAGCTAAAAAATAATATCAAAACAGTATATATAATTTGAATCTTTGTAAAACAATAATTAAAAGCTTTTGTTTCGATTTCATTCCAATTTCCAAAACTCATAGTATTCGAATATGTTAATTAAATTTTCTTTACATCGTTCAAAGAAAAATAAGGAATTATAAAAGAAATTAATATCAATCAGAAGAATTCATATAAAACATTATTTTTGAACTAATGAACTTCGAACGTTTATTTAAAATTCCCCGAAGTGATGTAGGAGAACTTAAAAGTCCAAGTAATTTGCGATCGTAAGTAGTTTTTGTAGTTCGTAGTTTTTTGATATGCTTTACATGAATTGTAATATCTCACGAAAGTATAAAAATTCCCACAGCAATATAAAATATTCGAATAAAATAAGTTATTAAAATTTGAAAAAAGGAACTAAAATTTTTTATATCCTTGAAAATATTATAAATAATTTAAAAAATTTATTTTTGAAAATCAAGAAAAATCTATTTTTGTGTTTCGTTATTTTGTTCGTGGTGTTTTCATTCATTGTCTATTTGATTAAAATTGACTCTGTTTTCGCGGTTCTTTTATGAAAATTAGAAAAATCTTTCCAAGAACAAAAAAAAATCAAAAATTCGATTATTTAAATTTGCAAAACAGGATTAAATGGAGGATATTATTCAGGCTCACTGCAACAGGCTCATAGTACGACCCCACATGAAGCACCTCATACCGCGGGAGCTCATGCTCCGTCAGCTGTAAATCCATCACCAGTTTCAGCACCGCAAGTAACAGCACCACCAGTTCCAGGCCTTCAACTTGGACTTGTGAGTAAATCGGTAGGTAAATTGCAAAATATATAAGAACTCTATAAATTATTTTATTTTTTGTGGACTGATTCTTCTGATCGCATTTCAAGTTACTTTATAAAAATTAAAAAACAATCGATTCCTTTGATAAACTTTTGTGTTGATAAATATACGTATACATGTTTCTGTTTTTTTTTTTTAATCAATCGAAAAATATATTTCTGTTTTTTTTTAATATTAGTTAGTTTAAAAATTTTAAATGATTTTAAAATTTTACGCTGTTATTTGATTTTTTAATCGGGTTATGATTTGGTATTAAACTTTGCCATTTTTATTAGCTATTATTCAATTCTTGAGTTACATAAGTATCAGATAATCCAATCGTCTTGAAAAAATAATAATTTTACATAGAGATTAAAGTCTACAAGCAATGTCTTCCTTTAAAAATATATTGTACCTACAATTTTATGAGATGGTAGAAAAGTAATTGTGTATTGTAAAATCTATTGTAACATTTGATTAAACAAAAAATTTATAAAATTCTTTTGTGAAGCCTTTGTATTGTATTATTATTTTATTAAAAGTGTCCACAATTTTTTCACTTTTTAAAGTTTCTTAACTACCAAACTTAAAAAAAAGATCCAAGGAACAAAACATAATTTTTTACCAATTTTTATTAATAATTACATTGGTACAAGTATCAATAAGTTATTTAATATAAAACTAATATTTTTTTTCATTTATTTTATTTTAATATTAAATAGTTGATTTAAAATTTGATTTTTTTCTTGTTACATTTTCCATAAATATGAACAAATTTAGTCATATTTTGTTTTATTGAAAAAAATTAATTTTTTTTTGTACAAATAATAATTTTAATAGCAATATATCAATATTGTGTCTCAATTAACTAAATCGTAACTCAGCGCAAATATAGCTTTTAATTAGGTTAAATTTAGAATTTATAGAAAAATGGTGAGATGTTTAATTGTTTTCACATTAGATGACCATAATTTTCTGACAAAAATAGTGAAAACAATAGTTAGTAAACTAAATCAGCTCTTAGATTAAACTTTCAAACTTAAATAAAATGGAAATGTAAATGATGTAATTTTCCTTCACACAGAGGCGAATACTTTTTTAAAAATTCATAAAAAGTATTATGAATTTATGAATGCTTAGATTTTCAATTTGAGTAATTTTTAGTGCTCAAAAAAATTTTTGTTTTGAATGGATGTTAAAATTTCGTTTTTATAAAATATCAATACTTATTACATATAATTAAATATTTTGATATGAATATAAATTTTCTTTTCAGCCCCTGAATGCGCCGGATCCTAGCAACCATCATTCAGTTAAATCCGAATCGTCAGAGGTCCAATAGCTTCAATCTGGCAAATTAAAAAAAAAAAAATACAAAAAAAAAAAAAAATAAAACAAAATAAAAAAAAAAACTTAATATTAAATTGATGAAGGTTAATTTAAAATCAAAATAAAAAGTATAATAAAAGATTAAAAACATTTAAAATAATTGAGCAAAAAGTAATATTGAATTTGGGAATAAAAACAACATTTTCAAAAGAAAGAAACAAGAAGCAGCAAAAGCATCCATAAAACTTGTAGAGATCTTTGAGTTAATCAACCATCAAAAAAAAAAGATATTTTCTTTAATTAATTATAAAAATATTTGTATTTATAAGAGAGACAAAAAAAAAAGTAAAAAAAAAACTTGTGAAACTATTTTTATTAGATTTTAATTTTAATTTTATTTCCAAGATTTAAGAATAAGACGTATATATATATTTAAAAAAAATATACCGGATGTAATAAAAAACAAAAACTTAAAAAATGCATTGTACTTTAAAAAAAAAAAAAAAGTGATAGAAAAATGAAAAAATGTTTCAATTTTCAATTTATTTTTTGCTTTAAGAATTTTAATACTGCAACAGATTTGGAATAAAAAAAATAATAGTTAAAGGAATGAAGAATTTAAATTAATGATCCGTCTAATGTTACCTCTAAAATATATAAAAAATAAAGGAGAAATTCATCTCTATTTCCGAATTTTTACGGATCTTATTTTAGTAAAATTTTTGAAAAGTATAATTTTAAACAAAAGTCTTGAATTATATTTCAAGACTTTTAATGCTGCAAAATCAAAAAACAGGTTATACAAATACTCTTAAACACGCCAAATAATTAGACTAGATTTAAAGATGTTATTTAATTATTAACTTTAAATTTTCAAAATTTTCGTGGACAAAATTTTTTCTGTAAAGAAGATAAGGTACATAGCTGCATTAAATTTTATACAGTGCGCTTATTATGTTTTTTAGAAATATAGCAATCTAAATCCATTTTTCATTGCATACTTTAATAATTATCGTGTTTACGCTAATAAATCATTATTATAAGTATAAAACATACAATAAGCAAAAAATTAAAAAACATGTTTTTGTGATGAATGAGAGAAATAAGAATTCAAAATTTTCAATGAACAATACGAGTATTAAGCAGTTTATAGAATGAGCATATTGATCTTAAGAACTCCTAATTCGATAAGGATGATAAACTTTTCAAAAAGATGAAGGGTTACTTCCTCCTTATAGACAAAATTTGCTTTTTGGAGCATTATTCTTAATTACAATCGTCATCATTTACTTCAAATAAAAAAAGGGTAATCTCAATTTTTGTTAATTATTCAAGGTATTTTAGTAAATGCAATATCCATTTCAATTTCTAAATCACAATTTAATGCATATAATAATTTTAACACATAAAAAAGAAATTAACACATTAATTATGTTTTTAACATATATATGTATGCTATATCAATTAATGTTTTGCGAATTAACAATTATGCAATTGAAATTTTTTAAAACTTAAAACTTCTCTTTATTAGATTAAAAGTGTCAGTATTTTCAGTATTTTTATCCTTTAAAAAATATAGACCCCCCAAACTTCTTAAAATTTCTACATATTTAAAATCATTCTACATATTAATAACATGTGGTCCTTCTCTGTGTTTAATAAAAAAACTGCATAACCGTAAGGCCCTGTTTTTTTAAATGTAGAACTGCAGTAGCAGTTTTTTTGAAAACTGCAATTGCAAAAAGAAACATTTCAAGAATTTTACGGGATATTTCACTTTTAGTTTTCTAACTGCGATAGCTTAAATCAATTTCAAACAAGATGAAGAATGACAATATAGAAGATCTTCTAAAGTAGTTTAATTTTTAGTTTCGGTAAAAATTAATAAAATTTTTATAACTTTAGCAACTTACAAAACGAAAAATACTGGAACAGCGCCAAAATAAAACTATCAATTTAAAGAAGGCTGAAAAATTAACAGAGCTGAGGAAGATGAAAACTTCTACTACGGAGCAGCATATTTGAACATTGAAATGAGAGAATGACCATTAAATTAACCGTTTTCTAAAACTTTCTTTTTTCAAATTTTTGGTATTGTTTTTCTTCTAGATGGTAAGTTGTACAAGTTTGAAATTTCAACAGGTTTTAGACCCAAAAAAATAATTAATTTTGTTAGAAGGAAAATCATTTTTACACCTTCACCCGCTTAAAAAACATCGTCTTGTATTTCAAGCACGGCTGACATAAAGAATCTTTCTCGAAATATTAAATTGATTTTTGTGCATGTTTTCAAATTTGAGAAAATGTACATTTGGTATATTAGCAAGTTTGCTATTTATATATGAAATGTCTCCCACAGTATGCATTGTGGGAGATTTTTATATAATCATATAAAAATCTAAATATTCTTCATGTGTATACTATATTAATTAAATTAATATGCTTCATAATAATTATTGCATATGTGCATTCTCTTTATATTAAAGTCCATAATTATATTCTCTTTTTAGGTATCTTAGGTTATTTTTTATAATTAGATTTTAATTATATTAGATTTCAGTTATATTGGGAAATATTTTCACAGTTAGTGTAATTCACTATGATTTACCTAAACTAACGCACCAGTAAATTTACAACTTATACAAGTTTCCTTATTAGATTTTTATTATGTTTGTTTTTATATAGGAGACAACTTAAAACAACGCATTTTTTATAATGATTATAAAATTATTAAAGCATTGTCATACAAAAACTTAAAATCAAATAATTACAAACTTAAATTTTAAATTAATATCTAAGAAAATTTTTAATTTTAAGTCGTATATTCTAAATTAAAATATATAACACCAAATTTTTTTATTCAGTGTGCTATCATTTTTTACTCTCAAATCTCTCAGATATGTTGCCTAACAGGGGAGTACAAAAAAATGCGAAAAAAATTCGAAAATATATTCAATCAAAATTATAGTTAAAATTTCGAGTTGAAATTTGAATTTTTGATATTTTGTTCAGAAAACTCCAAAGTCCAAATTTCATTTTACCATAAAAATTTTTAGGTTTTAGTCAACTTTTCGTATAGAAAACTCGAAATCAAAACAGGCAAAAAATAAATGGAATAATTTGAAATGTTTTTGTATTTTAATGAAAGTGTGTAATTAGAAGGAACTAGCTACTAGGTTTTTTAGAAAAAGTACATATTTTCACTTGCTAAGGAGAAAAGTACCATTTTACAATACATTGGTCCAAATTAATCTCAAAATAATGCCAATTTATTGTAAATGCAGTTTTTAAGGTAAGAACTACAGAGTTTTCAAAACTTCATGTACTTAAAATTAAATGCAGGACTTTCTTTGTAACTCGTATTTTTACTAACTCCATGAGAAGCAGTGACTACCAAATAATGCATATAATGTCTATGTAGTTTTAAAGTCAAAAAACTTTAGCATACTTAATTCTCGCTATTAAGTCACTTATATTTAGATGCTGATAAATTTAATAGAAATTTTAAGATTTTCACATATGATATACATAATGAGTAAAAGTTATAAATTCCAATTAAAAAAATTAGTAATTATATTGGAAAAATTAAATCTAATTAAAAATTAAGGTTTTTGGTTTAAAAGTGATCGAAAAATTATAGAGCTCAGAATTATACATGTACATATATAATTTTCCTTATATATAACTGTTTTTTTTTTACTTCTTTATACTTATATAGAAGAGCTATAACCATTGTTAAATTTAATTTTCTTATTAAAGTAAGATTTAATTTTCTTATTAAAGCCTTAATTACTAATTAAGGCTTAAGATCGATGTTTAAATGCAACAAATCTCGAACAATGACAATTTTGTAATGAAAAGTTTGTACCTAAATACATAGGTATATATACACTTACTCTTACACTTAAAAGCGAAAGATGCTATATTAAAAAAATTTCAGCCACACTTGCAATATAACAAGTTATGTAATCACCAGATGTATAAATTGAGTATTACATAAGCGTATTATCCAAATATTTGAGTTTGTTTTGTATATTTAAGTTAAGATACGTTAATTTATAAAAGTAAGTTAAAATTTTGCAGTTGTAATTATGTTTGTACGTTAAATCATTACACTAAGTCCTCGAGATACGACATCTTCTAATATGACATTGCGACTTACGACATGATATAAATTTGGACCATTTTTACTAGGCTTGCGACATTGTTCCTGATACGACATTAAAAATTTAAAAATTTTTTTGTTTTTTGACAGATTTTACTGATTTTTGAATAAAAATCTATACCGAATTTAATTATAAGACAAGTCTAAAGCACATACTTCAATAATGAACTCTTTCTAGTTAAAAATAAGAATTGAAGTATGATACATTGTATGTATATCAACTTCATCAGATTTTATTTTATTTATTTTTGTTAGAAAATTGAATTTTTTAGTTTCGTTATTATTTTTTGTTGTTTTTTTAGACTTTGTTACCATTTTTTAAAAAATAGGTCAATTATATTATAAAATAGTTTGTCTAATTTACTTTTTGTTTCCATACATTTTAGGAAAACCTCTTCAAACGACAATTCGCGTTACGACATAAAATTCTGGAACCAAAAAATCTGGTATCTCGAGGACTTAGTGTATATTATATGCTCAAAGAACACACATATGTACATATGTATATCTATCGGATGTACACCTTATAATAAAATAAACTATCCAAAAAAAAAGAACAATTAAAACTTCTATATATAGTAAATAATATATCTTGAACATATTATTTCTAGTATTTTACCATCCCATCTATAGAAATAAATTATTGTACCATCAAATGAATGTAAACAGAAATTTTTATAGAAATTAACTTTATTTGTATTTCTTATTAACTTTAACAATGGGAAACCGCACTTTATAATTGAAATAGTATACCTACGTACATACACTTAAAAAAAAATAAATGTATCTTTTAATCAATCTAAATACATGTGATTCCAATCCCATATATCTATTTTACTGATACACGTGATCACCTGTGTACTACATCATCTATTATCACATTTAATATTATCTTTATACCAAAGATACAATTTTACTTATTACAGTTTTTGTCGGAGATTAACCAGTAAATTACTAAGCTAATAGATTATAAATTCGCATAGGTGATTGAAATATAAAATCTAAGAGGAAAAAAAAAATTTACCATAATTACCCTTATAATAATGAAGGGTGGATTTCACTATATACGCATTACATCAAAAATCAAATAAGCGTTAAAAAAAGGAGGTGAGTTACTCTATTCTGACATTCATATAGTATTTATTATTCTAGAGTATATTAAAAGTAAATATTAGACACGTGTTCTTCATTTTCGAAGAGTATTAAAAATGAACATCAAAAAGTTTTTTTTCGCATTTCAGATTTGCTAGCTACTTATTAATATTTATAATTGTTTAAATTAATTTCAATTTTAAGATTTTATAAAACTTGCTAGTGCAAACGATGA